CGAGCTGCTTGGTCTGTCTGCGTTAGCTCGGCTGAGACAAACAGAATCCGGGGCAGCGATGAAACAGTCAGCGTCACAAGCACATGGCTCGTTCCATAAAAACATCTAGCCATCCGATGCCTTTCAACACAATTAACTGATACAGCGGTGTTAAACCAAAATAAACGTGGGGCGCGTAACCCACGAACCAGTGATATCATCGTCGCTTTCTCTCGATATAGCAGCCAGGTTTTCTCTGTCTAGTATAACGCATTCTGAAGCACCCTGTGACGTCAGATTAGACGACGCATAATATGGAAACCCTTCAAAACACACCAGCTCATGTGAATAACAAAACAAAAAAGACAGCCCCGAAAAATCCCACGGCAATGAGCTGGCTGCTTTCCAAACGCCTCGACCATTAGGCAGCCCAAATGGCGCCGCTGTGACGCGGTCCTGTATACTCTGCAGGCGCCAGGTCTGACGAATGCTGAGAGAAACGGGGGCAGACCATCCAATTAGGGACACAGACAGACAAACACACAGCCCGAGGGTCCACTGGCGACGGAACACCTACCTTCACCCGGACGTATCTGCCTGGGCAGAACAGTTAAACGATTATGTCCAAGCGGGCTGGATTAATCTGACTCGAGGAAGAGCTGCTTTCAGTACGATAAAGGGTTTTTTTCTCGTGGTCACCAGAGTTGCGACGGCGTAAAGTCTTTCCGGACGACAGTTCCCTCAATATCGCATTTTATCACCAACTCTACCATCGCTCGAACAGGCGCCCGAGGAAGAAGGTTTTCCTCAGTCATCGTTCCGCTGTCCCACGCGGCTTACTGACACCGGACGCGATCTCCTGCCCTAAAAATAACCGCCCCTTTGCTTCCGTATTTATAGACGCAAAGCACCCCCAGCCCTCTCATGGCGATGTGAATGGAGACACTGGCTCGTTCGTTCGTTCCTTCACCGAGACGTGCTCTGCGCCCATCATCAAGCCATTAACGCGTGTCGGGAGACGGAGGCAGACTCCAAGTATTCTCAACGTCAGCACGAGAGGAAATGAATGAATGATTCCTTCTAACTGCTATCCTTTCACGCTCCACAAGCCACGTGACCGCCCAAGTGGCTGCAGTTTCCGACGTTTCAGAGGTGCTTACTGCCTCGACCATCGCTGTGATAGTGATGGCAGTATGGACGTCTGAAACGTCGGTAAACCTGTGCCAGACAAAGATGACGGCTGTCTTACGGGTCGGAGTGCCGCGTAGTCCAGGTTATACGGCACAGACGACAGCCATCTTCACACTAGAAGCTACTCTCACAGAATGCAGGGCGCAGCGGAAAATCATACGGAACACAAGACTGTTAAGGGAGGTGGTAAATATGCTTACCAATATGCTTTAAAGTGTTAATATACGGAAGCGATACGTGTTGTGCGTCGTGACGCCTTCTTTTCAAGTGAAAAGACGCAGAGTATTTTATAATGCCAATGCAGATGACTGAGAGCGTGGACGGGCAGAGAGGTCGAAACAGGCCCCAGATTTATCCCAAACCAATGGAATCCTAACAGCTAGCCAGTGTTTTCAGCGACACGGAGCAGTAAGGCCGCTCGCCAGACAGAAGGCAGGAGCAGCCCCCCTGTTTATTCTAATCAACCGGAGCTGAGACAGGTCGACGAGGGGCTTCACCCCACAATGAAACATGCTACTCACGATCGATCGATCGGTCGGTGTTTGACCTTACACAAATACACGTGTCATGACAGGGCAAGACAGACAACCAGACAACGTATTCGCTCAGGGCGGCCTTTTTTGAGGACTGTAATGAACATTTGGGTTTCGTAGCAGAACTCTGAGCATCTAAGTATATAAACTGCTTAACTCTTTGAACCCGAAACTACTGTAAGTAATATTTGAGAAACGAAAACACTTTACCAATACAAAGATCAAAACGCTTTCTAGAGGAATAATCGCGGTTACCCTGAGAATCATAAACAACACGCAAAAAAATGCGCATTTACCAGCTGTTTCAGTACGTGAGACGTATAGTTACCATTAGGCTTCAAAGGGGGATTCTTTACTATGAATACTGCCACTACTCGTCCAAGCCCCGAACGCGCATACGTAGTAAGAGCACGCGTGGCTCAGCTACGCCACCCCAAGTGTCGGGGGGGCAGAAATAGCTACATCGCGTGCCGCTCAGGGCATCCTGCCCCACTCCGGCCTAGTTCCTTCTGCCAAGTCCATTCAATAATGGAAATCACTTTGCCG